AACGTTAAATATTTTTGTAAAATGATGAAAAAGGTGAACGGCCGAGACAGGCAGTACTCGTAATTGGCTCATTGGATACTTAGTACAAGTGTAGCCATCTATGTGTAAAAACAATCGAACAAGTCGACTCACAGTGGGCATGGCATGTACGTACATGCCATCCCCGGCGGCAATGGGTTAATGCATTTTTATCTGCTTTTTTTCTGTACTTTCTTTCTAGCTCTCTTGGTAAGTCACCTAAAATGATGTTCTGTAACCTAAAAGACTTATTTTGCATAGACCAAACATTACATTTACTTCCTAAGAAAGAGAGAACAACAGACAGACAGAGAGAGAGGACAAGGATTGCATGTTGTTCTGGTTTCAGGCCAGCGCCAGAAAAAGGACGAGGAAGTGGCAGCTGACTGCGACAAGAAGGTGGAGGAGAAGTTCTTTAGTCGCAGGCAGAACATGGACTTCATTGACCTCCTGTGGATGGTGCTCATGAGTAAGGAGTTCCTTCTTGTCTTTGTATTTGTTAGTGTTTCTGTTTTCAATTATTCTGACTCTACTTTTTCTTCCCATTGCTTGCTCTTTTTTCTTTGTCTTCCTCCTCCTCTTTTTTTCTTCTTCTTCTTCTTCTTCTTCTTCTTCTTCTTCTTCCATGGTTGGAGCTGAAAGTTCTGATTAGTATCTTTTATCTTTTTCTTACTATTCTTTTTTTCTGCTCGTTCCTTTTTACTTCTTTATCTTGTTCTTTACCTTTGAATGTTGTTCATTTTTTCTGTCTTTATGTGATATTACGAAATATGATTCGTTTATAGATTAGGGTTTGTAATGGTTACTTTTTTCTGTAATTACTTATGTAGACTTTGTGTTCCCTCTACCCTGTCTTGCATTTGTAAACTTGAAAGTTTTTGTATCCAGGCATGCCACCTGGAAACTTCCAGGGTAGGCAGTGGTGAATTTTATATTCGTTTTTAAATATCTCTCTGTTAGCATGTATATGTATAGTATGAATATTTAGCGAAATTAATATATATAAAAAAAGAAAAATTACATTGTTGTACATTGAGCATACATACTGTATACTGGTAGAATCACAGTTTGATAGTTATTCAAAACTACTCAATCTTATGATATGACCAACAGTTTTTGAGTAATGTCTATAATAAAAATAACAACATCGAAGTTCATAACATTAGTAAAAGAAAAAAAAAAAAGTTTTTCCTACCAATTCAAGGAAAGCTGAAATAAGGTAAGTTCACAAGGGCTACTAATTGACTCCTTTGTGGCTAAGCACTTAAAGAGCCATCTATATGCAGAAATATTTCACAAAAAGCATTGAGTTAATCTTTAGCTCTTAGTATTCAGTATCTTAGATTTATTTAATTACTTCCATACTGTATATAGCATTTGAAGATGAATGCCTCTTCTTGCAGAGTGTGAATCTTACCAGGAACTCAAGGAGAGTCTGGAGTTGATCTTCAAGGCAGTTTTAATGGGTCAAGTGAGGCCACAGATTCATGTTCGGAACAACACACAGGTAGGCTTTGCTGTTGTCATTACACTTTTTTCTAACTATATCACTTATTTCTTTGTGTCATGGGTAATAATGATGATAGGTATTAGGAAATATAACCCATAGTTTGATGAGAAAGCATACATAATGAGGATGATGATGACTATGAGGACAATAGAGATAAGAATAAAGGGTTACCCTCCTGCAGGTTGGAAACTTGGTGCGCAGTCTGATGAGGGGGCAGGCAGACTTGCCCGAGCTGACAGGTCTCATGCCTCTGAACATGCTTATTGAGATGGGCATTGAGAAGATCAAGAAGGACTATATCAACATATTCCAAGGTGGAGTTGCAATCGCTTTTCTTATTATTTCTTTTCCTCTCATGAGCTAAGTATTTATTTTTTTTTTCTTTCAAGAAAATGAGAAAAGTGGGATGGATTTTACATTCAAGGAGATGAGAGTTTTACACTGATAAATATATTATCTCTTGGAAATCAGAGTAATGGATATACCATTTTTTTAGGGACCTGCATAAATAATCATGAATGAGCAGTATTTATCTCCAGGAATTTTGAAAAATATGATAACCAACAATGATTGATTCTGCAATGCAAAAAATGTAATTGACTTCATAGTAATGTACAGAATTGTGTGAGAAAGCTATAACTTTCAAATACACATCTTGCTTTGTGAAATTATTCATTATCACTCATACCTTTTATCAACATTTACTATGAACAATCATCAACAAGAATTTTACAAGCGCTACAACATGAAGTCTGCTCTCCAAAGTATATCCACCAAAATCCTCTGTTTATTCCGCAGTGGGTGATCTGGCCACAGGGGAGCAGCTGTCGTGGTTTGTGGGCTACACTGACTGCATGAAGGACGCAGTGATGCAGCTGGAGAAGCTCCACGTGGCCCTGCAGGTTGTTGTGCTCCTGCACACTTACCTCAACCTTCCATCCTCGGCCCTCGTGCAGTTCACGGCACAGGTGAGTAGTGTGTCAGCACGGTAGGGGGATCTCTTAATGGGGTTTGGTATTATGATGATATTTATAATTATTGCTCTTGCTGGTGGTGTCGATATTGTTTTTACTCCTCTTCCTCCCATCAAGGAAATGTTCAGAATGTACATGTCATATGCTTTATCTATGTCTATTTGTATGAATTTATTTTGTAATGTTATTTTCCTTTTTTAATCTATGGTATTTCGTCAATTACAGGCTCTGAATCAGCTGAAAGAAGGCCTTTCGTCACCTTACTCATTTAGCTTCAAACTCTCCACCTTCACTGTCCATCAGCTACTCAATAGGTATGCTTTGTGACTCGTTGTTTTCTTTAATTTTTTTTTTAGGGAGGAAGCAGTTGAAAAAGATGATCAGTTTTATTGACATTAAATTCACCGTACATACTAACTAGGAAGCATTTGATACAACCAGTAGACAGCACCCAAAAAAGCTAAATGATTGCAAAAAGAGTGCAGGCAGAACATCCAAATGAAAAAGAGATAAAGGTACCTAAATTGGCTCACAGGGATGGGCCACGCTAATAAATTAGGTAAAGAATAGATCCTGTTTGGTAGAAAAGCATGAGAAGTAAGAAAATAGATTATAGATACTTTGTGTAAGATTGTATAACTGAAGTTATATGACTTGCTTTATACTTTGATACAAGTCATCTCTCTGTAACAAACTTAAGACAAATGTAGATAAATGTGTTTAACACATGATAAAAATACCAGGAAAGAAAAGTTACATCACATTGGAAGATACAAAATAGTAATGATAAAATAAAGTACTGAAATTTTCCTTCTTGTACCTACTCAGCCTGAAGCCCAGCATGTGGGAGCTGGTCCTGCATAGCACACACAGCACCTTGGAGAAGACACTGGTTTGTCACGTTTCACACCGTCCTCTCATCCAGCTGCCAAACGCATCTAATGGTTGGTTGTCTCCTCTATTGGTGCTTTTCTTACTTAATTTGTTGTTTTGTTGTGGAAATTCAAGTGTTTTCTGTACATTTTCTGCTTCATATTAGGGTGATTTCATATCAAGTTTATTGGTGGGTACAAGCTACAATTAAATCATTAAGAAGGAGAAAATCAGGTTATAATTTTTTTTATTAAATTATGTATCTCAAAGGCAGAAGTTATAAGCACCTTTTTTCTTCAAGGATTATATCTGAAAAGATGAGATGAGACTTTGCATAGTCTGCTTTTTACTTTTTTCTTGAGTCGTAGCATTTTAAAATATTTATATTTCTGTCTCCTATAACAGATTTGGAGGAGAGTGCAGCTGACTGCGATAAAGAAGAACCAGAGGGATTTGAGGAACGCCATTTCTGCACATTTATCACAACCGTCACCGACAAAATACTGACTTAATACTTTCTGTTTACACACCTAATATTAACATGTATAGGAAGACCCTTTCTTATGTCTAGGCCCTTCGTGTTCAAACACCTTTTATTATTATTATTATTAATGTTTCTATATTATTTTTTTTGTTTATGGTAACTGGGACTGCTCCTTCTCTCAACTGTGGAATGTGATATGTTATTGACTGGATGTGCTTTTATGAATTTAATAAGCCAGGAATGAAGAGACAAAAAAAATATATATTATATAGTTTCTAACCCATGAAACACTTTTCTAGCATGGAAAATTATATATTTATAACATTTTTGAATGTGTTTTTATTGCACCTCTTATGTTCAGCCAAATGTGGTCAATACAATATTCAGTTTCCATTGAATGTGACTGATATAAGTAATACATACCACAGAAAAATGTACATTTAGAATGATTGTTATTATTACCTGCATTAATCTCTCCAGATTTCAGTCACACTGACCTACAATCAGTCATAGATCACAATTTAGTTAGATTAAGGTTTTGGACACTGATGGAGCCCAACTAAAGAGTCTGCTGCTGGTAGGTCCGAATTCCACCAGATGGACAGATACCCAAAATGATTCCTTCAGCTTACAAAGTATAATAGCAAAAAAATAAAATCTTTGTAATATGACCTGCCAGTCCAGCTACATGAAAAAAAGAAGTTAAAAGAAAAAACAAACAAACACTGACAAAACATGGTTAATTCAGGAAACCTACTGGATAAGCATGAAGGCAATGTTTACACTGGAGTCAAGCATAAGAGATTTTTTGTTTTCACCATACATATCTTAGCTTGAGGAGTGCAAAACCTATTAAATCTCATGTCTGGCAGAAATAATTGTGAGCTGTAAACATATTCAAATAACTAAGCTTCTGTTTGACCCCAAATCATTGATGAAATAGTAAACACAATTGGTACAAAGACCGATCCTTGAGGTACTCTGGGAAGCACTGTACTCTACACATAAATGACAAAGATAAGAAATGGTGAGCGTAACTGGTCTCCCATGGACTCCCATTTGTGTATGGTGTGATTGAAACAAACGTTTGATATTGATTTATATATTTACATTAAATATATACAACTTTATTTGTCTATTTACAAAATATTATTCTTGATGTTAAACTGAATGAAGTTTGTGTTATTATGATGCAAATATTTCAAAGGCATTAGCAAAAGTGAATATGGAATAAATATTAAATAGAAGAATACACATGTACACACACATATAATATGCAATCATAAAAACTTTTGCACAAGAAGAGTTATGAATTAAAGATACTTTAATCTGTCTATAAAGTATAGACCACATCAGTACTAAAATACATCCCTATATGGCAATAATAATTACATGTGATTATTATTTTCAGTTGTATGAAAAATAATTCCATCATTCATTCACCACGCACGACCTGAGCCTAATGTTCTGGTAGAAACGTAAGGGAAATTTTGACTTTTAGGCCTTTCTATATCTTAGGCCCAGGCGGGTCATCTTAATAATTGGAAAATTTGTTTTAAAAAAATTCATGTTAATAATGTTACCTTACTTAACACGTTGAAAACATCGATACTGGCGAGATATTGAAATAAATTAAGAAACGTCATGGGATTTCCCATGAGTCGATTAACTATAATTGATTAATCATTGATTCGAATCCCTCACGACCTCGCCCAGGCCAGGAGCCCCAAGTCCGTTTCCCCCGACGACGAGGCCGAAACGCCTGGAGGAAAGGGGCTGCCTCGCGCCCTGGAGTACAGCTCCTGCGACGCCCCCAGCCGGCTGTTGATGATGTCCTGGATGCTCGTCGGGTAGGACGCCTCGCCGGGTCCTGCAGGGGGGTGGGCGAGGGGAGCGGAGGGGCGGCGGCCGCCATGCGCGGAGGAGGGGGGGAAGGAGAGGGACGGAGGGGGAGGCTGGCTCCCCAGGGACCGCGTCCTCTGCGCCTTCTGCTTCCGGCGCGCGGCCAGCGACTGCTGCACGAGGATGGGCAGCGGGACGCCCGGGATGAACGGGATCCAGACGGGGTCGTCGGCGGCGCCGTGGACGCCCCGCACCTTGGCTCCGTTGGCGGCCTTGCGCAGCGCCTCCTCCTGGTCCTTGAAGAAGGCGTCGGCGATGGCGTTGTGCTCGACGCCGGGCCGCGGGAAGGGCGCCCCGCCCAGCCCTCGCTGCGGCGGGCGAGGCTGCGGCGCCGAGACGGCCGGCGGCGGCCTCAGGTTTAGGTCGC